GATCTGTTTGTCTGACATTTTGCCTGCTACAGTTACAAGGCAGATCTTATTGTTGCAGTCCTGTTAAGTGGCCAGACCTGGTGTAAAGCAAACATTAGAGATAAGCAAGCAGATGAAAGTGTTTTTCAGATGTCCTCTCAGATAAGATGCATAAAAGCAGTTGTGCAGAAGCTTTTGTGTGACTTTTAATCACGAGTTCATATGCATTAGAAATGTCGCTTTGATGTTCCTAAGCCAGACAAAGGCACCATAAAAATCTGGAGTTATCAAACCCACGTGGCCTTGAGGTAACTTTTAAATGGCACAGCCGGCCAGAACTGCTGATTCATTCAGTGTCCGTTTTATCAGTGACTTAACATGATACGGTCCATGTCCTCCTGGCTTCGAGCCAAACTTGTCACACCTTGCAAGCAAGCAAGTAAAGGAGTAATAGCAGTAGTTTCATTCTGCCTTTGTGTCCTGTCTTTCTCTAAATCTGCTCCTCCCAGCAGAGTTACCAGCATGTCTTTTGAATTCGAACAAGTAATAAAACTGTCTGTGTTTTATATGTGATGGATCACGGCCTCTGTTCACCCACGAGAAGGATGAATTCACTCTCTTATGCTTGCCTGTGCACCTTTTTGTAAATGTCTGTGTGTGTGTGTGTCCAGCGATTTGTGTCCCAGGACTTTCTTCCCCCTGAATACCAGCACCTGGTGTTGACTGGGGCTCGGCTCCGTCCCGGTCTGATGGTAAAATTGCCTCCGTGACCTCTGACCTACCGATTAACCACTAATCACGACAATGGAGTAGAGTGAAGTTGTCCATGCTGACCGGGCGCTGCAGTTCCCTCACTAATGTTTAAGGATAGACTTAAGGGAAACGCAAACTGACCTCTTGTCAGCAGTTTAAGGCAACTTGATCGTGGAGCTTTCATAACACACCAGAAAAAGCAGGGAAGAGTTTGTTCTGTAACACGCATAACCCATGTTACATCTCGTAGGTGCTGCAAACATAGACGTGCATTGCTGAGTTTGCTGCTACCAACCGCAGTGCTTTGTCAAATGGGTTGAGTGTGGCTTGAGTAGTGGTCTTTTCTTTTTTTTAAAAAGTCATTTTAGTGCACTTTTATGGCCTAGGAACTTATCTTGTCCTTTCTCGCTCTCTGTCCTCCACCTCCTCCCCTGATTTTGCATTTTAGGAGAACCAGAAGCTTAGAGAGCAGAACGAGGACCTGAACGGTCAGATCATCAGCCTCAGCCTGCATGAAGCCAAGAATCTGTTTGCCACACAGACCAAGGCTCAGTCTCTAGCTGCTGAGATCGATAATGCCTCCAGAGACCAGGTAAAATCAGTTATGCAGACTTGTAACAAAGAACATGAACACCCCTGCGGCTACAATGTGATTTCTTTTTTTTTATTTTATTTTTTTAATATTCTGAGTCTTACTGACAGCTTCCAGACAGGGTTTTATCTCAGTGCTTACAGGTTCCTTAGTTACAGTGAGAAATAGCTGTTTTTCAGGCCATATCACAGCAGTACGATGTTACGCATCTACCTCTGTTTTACAATTAAATCTATATCTGCATAATGAGGAGAGCATTACTATGAGTTATCATATTTCTGTGCAGTTTTTAAAATGTTATTTTCATTCCTTGTTTTCAGAGGAGTTCAGTGCATTAGTTAGATTTTTTTTCAACATTGGCATTACTTTTTTGGTTGGTTGGTTAAAAGTTTTATTTTTTCTAAAATTATAATACAGTCAACAGCCACTTTATTAGGTACACCTTGCTAGTGACATTGAAATTGCCTCGATTCTTCGTGGCACAGATTCAACAAGGTGACAGAAACATTCCTCAGATTTTGGTCCATGTTGAAATGATAGCATCACAAAGCTGATGCAGGTTTTTTGCTACATCAAAAAGTTGCCCTAATGGATGCAGATGTGGTAACTATGGTGGCCATTTGAGTACAGTGAGCTCATTGTCATGTAACTGAATCATAGTAACATTTTTTTTTCTAATGAATAAACATGTATTGTACATATTTCTCCCTAGTTAATGGAAGCCCTGAAGGAGCAAGAGGAGATCAATTTACGTCTGCGGCAGTACATGGACAAAATCATCCTGAACATCCTGGACCACAACCCCTCCATTCTAGAGATAAAGAACTAGCAGCGACTCAACTGGAATGAGCAGCGTTCCTGATCTTGGGAGAGTGAGGATCATTCCAGTTGTCTGATCAGAGCAGGGTGACCTGAATCGGGGGGGAAAGTGTACAGAAAAACAGAGCCAGTCTTACGTAAACAGACATGCATCGCCCCCTGCTGTTTGTGCCAAGAAGAGCGTCTCTTCAGGATGGTAGAAGGGGATTCTGTGTTGAACAAAAGGGAGTTTTCTCAGCCAGTGATTGTTCACTGACTGGTTATGCTACTGTGACTGTTCTACTCATTTGATCACATTTTTATTCTGTCTATGCTGTGAGCTGGAGTTAAAGTCACAAGATTGATCTCTTGTGAAAACTCCAGGAATATTCAGTGTCCAACGTGCGTTGAAGATTCACTTGATTTAGTACACTGGACATGAAAACTGGAGAAAAAAAAAAAGAAAATGTAAACAGCTTTATCCTGAAGCTGTTTGGCATGGCGTAGAGAGGCACAATAAGACAGTAGAGCAACATGACAAGCAGACTTTAAATCCAGAGTGAGACAGGCCAGGCCACTGTTGCCAGTCTCTGAGTGCGTGTGATGACATATTTGGACAAGTATGTGCTGAAAGAAGGTCGAGAAGCGAGGCACAAGCGGTCAGAGAGAGAAAAAGAGTGATGCCCACATTATAAATTGAAGACGATGAATTAAGGAAGAGCGTTGACCCTAAACAGGTGGGGATGTTACATGATAGGCCAGGTATGCTACCAAAAGAGGCTTTTTGTGAAGTCGATGAAGGTACACTGAAAGTGAAATTTCGTTTTTCGTTCACTCTTGCGCACGTCTTCCACGAAACCACACTTCGTACATCAATCAGTCCTAAAGCGGTGAACAGTTTTCACTGAGAAGTGGCCCTTAGTTGGTACAGACGAGTCGCTGAGTGTCGCGTTATGGCGCCGAAGCTGCAACCAAGGAGTGTCTTCAAACTGTAACTTCCATGGCTGCTATTTGCTAGCTAAACTTGAGCTTGATAAAAAGTCACTGTTGCTTTGCAATAGACCCCAAATGATGTTGCACAGAAATATAAAGATGTGAATGTACAGCGTGAGGTGGAGTGACTGGTAGCCATTGTAACGTGGTTTACCAAGTTGTCTTTTCATGTTCAGTGACTTGGATACCGGATGTGAGCGTGCACAGGAGACTCACTTTTTGGTACAAAAGACTTGATTTGTCACATTTGCACCTACAGCAGGTTGCAGATTGTAGTTTAAGCCCCAATGACTCTGAAGCCCTCTTAAACTGTAAATATCACGAATGTACGATTCCTCATTAACTTTCTGTGTGGCCAAAAAAGCAGTTTTCCATTGAAACTGGTTAATACATTTGGCAACATGTGTACAGTATTTAGTACTGTTATATGGAGGGCATTGTTTTCAGAGGGGAAACAATTACAATCTCATGTATTATGTAATTATTCTAAACTTGAGTTTTGCTTCCTTGCACAAAAAAAGGTTTTGTTTCCTTTTGCATGGTCACATTTACTTCTGTCTGTGCCTTTTGAGGACATTTTTCGAGATAATCTCGCTATAGATTTACGCTGTTTTTTGGAAAGTGCGTTTTCTGTCTATGTATGACATTTTCATGACTTGTAAATGTTGTAATTATCTAGTGATAATTTGTATTTTATGTGCCACTCACCAATCTTTTTTCAGATTGATACTGAGAAAACACTTTTATACAGATTAATCAAGAAACTAATTGTTGTTGCTTAGCTGTCCTGTTTGCAGTATAGCACAAGACTGTGACGTATGCAAGCCAGTTTATCTTCTTTTCTTTCCTTTTTTTATATAAACAGAGTGAGCAATGACTTTTGAGTTTTTTTTCAAGGTTTTTGTTAGATTCAGTAAGTCCACTGATTTTCAATCAGCTTCAAAGTGGGTTTTTATATATGGTTGTTTACTGTCTTCCTAACTTAAACGGTGACTATTATGAGCAATATTAACTTATTACCAGTACCTGCTGATCTGTGTCCTGTTTTGCATCTTAAATCTTTTCACTTTTAATCCACTTATGCCATTCTTCAAGTAAAAAAACAAAAATTCAAGACACACTGAGCTGTAAAAACTGTCACAAACTCATGGCTTTTAGCTTTCTGTTATTAGGACGATCCGATTGGATGCAGTCATCTTAAATAGCAATAAAAAATGGCTTTGGCAGTGATGTTGTCTCATGAAATTTCTGTTATTTTCATTTGAATTCAGCTATAGTTTCTAAAACATAAACATTGTGCCTAAAGTGTATGCTGCTGCTGTCTTAGCTGCCATTATGTACTTTGCTGTAAATAAAAGTGTTTGCGCTGGCATGAAAATAGTCATGTCACCAAATGAGAATGTTTTAACTTTAATGTTTTATTTTATGTGTTTGTGTGTATTGTGTATTCTCATATGGGAAATCTTAAAACGCAAGATTTACAACCTTTTGTAAAAGGGCAGCACTGCGCTGTTTAGTTATGTATGGTCAATACCCATGTAAGCCCAGGCATTGAGGGAAAAAAACAAACCAAAAATAATTATTAAATAAATCTTCCTTACAACATTATTTTGGAGCAACGACAGAAAAAACATTTCTATCTGATTTGACTGTGACTGGTGCTTTTATACATGTAGTTTTACCTCATTTGACTAATTACATTACAGTTAATTTAGGTGTTATTAGAGATTTTGCGGATTATAAATGCCAGTTATTGTTTTATGTATTTATTTACTTCATTTATTTATTTTTATACATTAGTTTTATTTTTATATTTTATTCTTTATCTTCTTTCATTTATATATTTATTTGTACCTGCTCTCGGAGCAGTATTTGTGTACTCTGGCGCCTCCTATCGGCGAACTGCGCAGCTTCATTTGATCAGCTGGGTGCTGCACGCGGCTGGTGTGCCCGACACAGCGGTGCAGGTAAGAGTTAAATTAAAATGAAGCATAATGTGAGTGATGTTTTAAGGTAAACTTGCATGTGAACGCATAACTTGGTGCTTTCCGTGTATGTTATCCGCTCCCTGTTGTTTTCTTCCCACAGGAAGCTCACAAACTTTTAGCAGCCGGCATGACGATAGCTGTTGATAATGGCGCTAAAGTTGTTAGCCCGCTAACAGAAAACAGGGCGCCTACATTCACTGGGGTTAAAAGAGCACACAGCTAGCTAAGTGTCAGTATGTTTGGTTATTGTTAAGGTAAAATTGTTTACGATTTAAATTATTTATTGTTTAGTTTTTTTATTAATACCAATGAAAATAACTATTTAACAGAAAAAAGTAAGAAAGGTGTTGACTGAAAAGGTTTAGGCTGAAAGTTTAGCTTAATGGACCGCCATTGTTTTCTATAGAGACACACCAACTAAATTTCACCAAAAACAATCATTAGTCAGTATATGCACTAGACAAAAAATGAATTGCACAGTTTTAAGTCCTCATTAAAACCATTCCCCAAGTTTAGACTTTTTATATAGTACTGTGCAAAAGCTTTGAGCCACCCCATCTTTTTTGGTATTGTAAAAGGAAAAATACGGAGCCCCGCAGGGGACATGGGAGGAAAAAAAATTAAGACGGACTTGCGAGATCTCGCAAAACAAACTCGGGATCTCGCAAAAGTTTTAGCCGCATTCTTCCCGTTAGCTCGAAGCTAACGGGAGGTCGAGACCTACTACAGCCGGGTGGAACACCGCTTTCCCGGCACATCGTGCCTCGACCTCCCGGTTGGCTTCGAGCCGGCGTCCGAAGAATGCGGCTAAAAGATTAACTTATTGATATTATTGGCTAAATTTCATATACATAAGTCGAAATTATCTAACGCAAAACCATCCTTTCGGTGCTTTTTAAATGAAACCAAACAATATGTTAAAACCATACAACATTCTCAAAATCAAAAAGCTGTCAAAACCGTAAACCTATGTTCCCTGTTCAATATTATGTGATTCTATAATAGACTGTGTCTATTTTGCTTTTTTATACGAACCCCCTGACATTGTGTTTGCTATTTTGTATTTGTATTTTGTGCTTTGTCAATAAAAAAAAAAAGAAAAAAAGAATGCGGCTAAAAGTTTTGCGAGATCTCGGAAAAGTCAGTCTTAATTTTTTTTTTTCTCCCATGTCCCCTGCGGGGCTCCGTAGAAAAAGAATGAGATGGGTGCAGAGATGTATTGAGCATGTGCAAACATAAATGGAAAAAACAGTATAAGAGGCAAAAACAGGCTTTTTACAATTAATGAAAGTCAATAATGGTATGGATGTCTCTTTTAGACAGATTTTCTTGTAATTTCTTTAAGTGGTCTTCAGGAGTAGTTTTCCAGGCATCCTGAAGGACACCCAAAAGCTTTTGGATGTTGGCTGGCTTTTGTTCCCTCCTCTGACAAATTGATCGCACATTGTTTCAATACTGTTGAGGTCCAAGCTCTGGGAAGGCCAATCCATGACAGATACTGTTTCACTGTGGGTGGGGGGGATTTTTAGTTCCATGTGGCGTTTACTTCATTGGCAGTGTGTTTGGGATTATTGTCATGCTGAAAAATGAAGCTACTGCTAATCAGACGATATCCAGATTTGTCAGCTCAAAGCTGCCTATTCACACTAAAAGTAAATGTTTGTGAATCAGACTTTAATACAGGAAATATGTTTAGAAACGTCACTAAAACCAACAGTCCTTAGTATAAAGGGAAGGAGACTTGTCAGTAATTTACATTTGAAAGTATAGTGTTCTCAGTGTCAGTCACTGTAAGAATTAGATAATCTCTTTGATATGTAAATAACCTGAGGTCTGTTGGTGCCGTTAATGACATGTTTTCATTATTAACTAAAGTCTCTAAAGAAGTCCAAGTATAACATTTGGGTCACTTTTGGTCTAATCACACTCAACTGACACAAATCATCTAAGAAATTCAGCCAATCTCTTCCATCTGTTTCACAGGTGAAGCGATGCCTCAGGCTTGTATGAACTTTGAGCCTAACAGAAGGGGAACCTATCACAGCAGCCGTAAAACCAATGATCTGATCAACAACACAGGTTTGGTTAATGGAGCAGTTGTTTACAATGGATGCTCAGCTTCTGCCAGCAGAATCAGTAGGAGCACACCAGCTGGCACACAGCATGGTCCTAAACCCACATACAGGATTAACGATTATTTTAACTATGGCTACAAAGGCAAGAGTACAAAAGCAGCACCCTCAGGGACCCTCAAGAAACAAGGATGCAAAATTCCAGCTCTCTGTGATGCCCCAGCATCTGATGGAAACGGCAGTGAAGATCTCCTGAGTGGTAACTCAGCCAAAGTTAGTGCTCCACCCAGTAACATTGACCAAAAGGTACCAGATCCCAGCCTATCGGCGTCAGGGAAGAAGAAAAGGTGGAGGAGATCGAGACACAAGAAGAGGTGCATCACTTATCTTAATCTTAAAGTTCTCAAGTCCAGCCTATATATACCTATATGTGTTGATTCTACTTAAAATCAACACGTTTTTTTAATGGTTTTGCAGTGGACCTTTAATAACAGCCCTAGAGTAGCAAGATTTACTACTGCAGAGGCCCTGAGACAGATAAGTAATACGTAATGCTCAGCTGATGGAGATGAGTCAAGTTTACTCCCTTCTGCATAAAAACAAATACAAACATTTGTGAAAGAATGGGTTGTTCTAAAGACCTCATTAAATCTGAGTGGGGTACTGTAATAGGATGCCACTTTTGTAATAAATCAGTTAAGTTTGTGAAGTTCTTCCCTCATAAATTACGAACCATTGCAACTCAGCCCTGAAGTACAGAACAAGGTGCATAAAAGTCAACTGTAAAGTTTGATGGAGGAGGGATAATGCTATGGGGTTGTTTTTTAGGGTTAGCCAGGGTCCTTTACTTCAAGCAAGGGGGGTTCTCAATTCTATGCTTCCAGATTTATGGGAACAGCCTAGGGAATGCCATTCCAGTGGGACTGTGCACAGAGCGAGGGGGATTCAGATGTGTCCATAGATTGAATATGTGAAATTATAAAAGCTCCTGTAGTGCAGACAATTTCACACTATAATTTTGTATTGGAAACAGTCATTAAAAGTATTCCTGTACAAAAATTATACTCATGAAGTAGAAGAATAAATGCTTTCAGTCCCAACTTGAGTGAAGTTTCAGATGAGATGACAGAAAATTGAATGCTTTAGTTATTATTTTAGATAACTGCTTATCTTGCTGTGAGTAACATGTGAGAGTGATATCAATATTCTTGTGCATATCTGTCTCTTAAATCTCCAGCCAGCACAGTATGAACACTAAAAACATAATAGTTAGGCTCAAATCTGTCTGTAGATTTACACACAGAGACTTAAGGGATATCATTGTGTCCAGGTAAAAAGCATAAATCATTGTGAATCCATTTCACTTGTTTCGGTGCAAATTAAAGTGATAACAGATGCATCGGAGCGACATAAACATGTACATGAGCAGCCCGCTGGAGGTTAATTCTTTGCACAAAGGAGCAGATAACCGTCCTGCTGCCCTTCTATCACCCTGACCAGCTGCTCTTGTATAAACAGCCCATCTTCCCATAACCCTTTAATGCTTGAGACTGAGTGGAGAGATGCATCAAAGCTTCTTCTGGATGTGAAGAATGAGTTGTGCATATTGTACTGAATTATTATATTCAGTGAAAACGTATGGGAATGGTAAATTATTTTTTTCATCTCATTCACATAATGACAGCATGAAATAAAGCATAAAAATTCTCTATAATACTCATAAATTTAACTTTATTTGTATAGCATTTTTTTTAAAGCACACAGTTACAGTAATTCCAACATTAATGGTTTTGTGCACACATCAGATGTAAACTGTGGCGAAAAATACTGCCACTAACAACCAGAAATGTATTTCAAATATGTAATTAATTTCCCTTCCCTCTGATTATGGAACACTTTAATTCAGCGGTCCCCAACCCTCGGACCGGTACCGGGCCGCGAGAGTTGAGGCTCAGGTGTGAAATGTATAGTTTTCAGGGTTTTTATCGGTTTTCAGCGTTATTTCGTTATCGTTTTTATTGTTTACTCGGTTTTCCTTGGTCTTTTCGCATGTGTTATGAATAAATTTTCTTTTTTTCGGTACCGGTACTAGTTTTAGTTTGTTGTATTTATCCGCGACACCTTAAAGGCCGGTCCGTGAAAATATTGTCGGGCATAAACCGGTCCGTGGCGCAAAAAAGGTTGGGGACCGCTGCTTTAATTAACATGAGCCCTCTTGCAGAGACAAAGAAGTCGTCTACCCGGAAATTCTTTCACCCGCACCCATAGAAGCGGAGGAAGACTGGGGAAAAGAGATCCAGGAGGGCACGCGCTCTGACTGGAAAAACATGTGTTTTCGGGTCAGACCTTATGGTAAAGAAAAAAACATTTTCATGACATCTACTCTCTTTACAGTACTGAATTTAAATGTCTTAGTTATTATATACATGCATATGTAATAAGTTATAAATTTATGTTGCTGTAAGGTTGATTACTGAATATATCTTCACCACTGAGGTCAAACAAGGAAATTTTAAAGTTTACCTGATGTGTATTAATAGTAGTAGTAGTCATTACCTTTTCTGTCATAAAGGAAAACTGCTGAAACCAAAGTCCTTAGAGAAGCGAGTCTTGCCACACAGAGCCACTTTGAAATGGCTCATTGCAGTTATAAAGTGTTATCTACGTTTCCTTTCATTTAAATGGTCAAATGTGCATAAAAGTGCCAGGATATATACTAAATTAAAAATGAATATTAGAAACAGCAAGTTTCAGTCCTTCAGCATCCTGTTTTCATTGAAGCTGATGTAGGTGTCAGTACTACTTTTAGGATTCAGGCCATGACGTGTGTTGCTGCCTGTTTCAGGTCCAGAAGACGTCCTCCGTTTTGCTTTGCAGGACCTGACACTGAAGCAAAGGGACACAGCGGCCCTGCCCGTGTCAGCCAGTTACACACCAGCGGTGCACCACCCACACCCCCTGATATGGTCCCGTCACATCATTCCCACTGAGCCAGACCAATTCGCAGACGCTGACTAGTAAGCTGGGCGTATGCCTATATGTTAGAATAATGGTTGACATGAGAATTAACAACATCTGTTTCTAAAATATTTGTTTCGTTCTCATTTGGTTTAGTGGAAAACATTAAATTTAACTTTATTGGTAAAAGATTGTGCGGTGGAGTCTAGGTTACCATCTGGTTGTTTTTTATTGTAGGTTCTATTTTATATTTAAAATTCAGGTTTTATATTTGTTTTATATTACAACAAAATACTTTGGATTTTGTGATCTTAAAGGTTGGTTTTATTACAACTACTACTTTTAGTTTCATTGCTGCAGTTAGTGCTGTTCCTCACACAGGTCATGCATTTCCTGTTTCGTTTTCATCTTATATTTCCATTCTTTTTCTTGTCTGTGCTAAAAGAGCAAAATACTAGTTTTAACTGTTTCTTTGTGTTTTAAAATGCCTGAAGTTAATACCATGTTGTTATGAGTTGCTCATTTGAGCTGAAAGATCTGTTTAATCTGTTTATAAACACCCCCTGTTCACAGCAAGTACATGAAGTAACTATTTTATTTTGACACTCATGGAATAGTTGATTTAACCAAGAAAGTATGGTTTGATTATGTAATAAGAACGTGATTTTCTGGTTGTTCATATCATTTTTATTACCATAATAAATCACATTTTCTTCTAACTTGTGCTTAAACCCTGCATTTTTTCATCGCCACTGTCAAAAAATGTTATTAAACAAGAAGGCCCACCTTCTTTTCACCATTTAACCACAAACAAATGGATTTGAAACCTTACCATCTGTTGCTACTTAACGGCTCTTTAGAAGCAATAATGGCTTCTGGCCACTAGATGGCAGAGTGGATATAAGATTTTGCATTCTGCTAGTTATTTCCATACACCTCAGGGAGTTCAATGGGTTCATTCCCAAGGACTTGAGAGAAAGAGGCATTTACTTGCATAGTGCTCAGCCCATTTCTCCCTGGTGTTGAATTCAGAATGCAATAAGACACTGAGCTGATTAATGCCATTTAGTTGTACTAAATATGTTTACAGATATTTTTATAATCAAATGGGTCCATTTAAAATGTTTTAATATGAAGTAGCAATTAGTAACAAGTAACAATTTTCATAATGCTTTTTTTCTTTAAACACAATAGTAGATCTGAAATGAATCAATCAAAACCTGTTCAAGTGCAGATTTTCAGCTCTAATTCAAGCAGCTGAACAGAAATACTGCCTCAGGTGTTGAGGAATTACCACCATCTATACCCCGTCCCCTATTTTCGGGGACTCAAATGTATTTAGACAAATTAACTTAACAAATATTTTAGATTTCTTTGTTGAGGATCCTTCACAAGCAGTGACTGCCTGAAATTTGGAATTCATAAACATGACCAAGTAATAGGTTTCCTCCTTTGTGATCCTTTGCCAAACCTATACTGAGGCTGTCTTCAGTGTTTGTTTGAAGGATTTTAGGCCATTATGTTTGCTTTAAGCGAGTGGAATGCTGTTCTGTCAGGTTCAGATCAGACCAAATAACAGGTTTCCTCCTTTGTGATGCTTTGCCAGACCTATACAGTGACTGTGTTCAGATGTTGTTTGAGGAGCTTTAGGCTCTTTATGTTTCCACTCAAAGCATTCTGTCAGGGACAGCTCAGGTAATTGATTGCAGAATAATCCACTTCTTGAAGTTTAAAATGTCCTGGGTTGCTTTCACTGTATATTTAGTTTCATTGTACATTATCTGTCTAGTAAACTTTGCTACATTTGTCTGAATTTTACCAGCAGTTATATCCCTAAACACAGAATTCATCCTGTGTCTTCTGTGTTTTAGTGACCCAGTGAAAGGCATACATGACCATGCATCACACTGCCTCTAGTGTGTGTTACAGAGTATGTGTCAGATCATGAGCTGTTAAAAGCATACTCCATACTTTACTCTGGTACGGGCAGATCTTAGCTTCCTCTCTTACAGATATTGTTGGATAAATGGCCTTTCATTTTTTGGTTGTTTGTTCTGCAAAATTGCAGATCTGGCATTGCTGTTCAAAAACCCAAGGAGTGGTTTAAATCTTGTAGTGTTTGAAGCCTTCCCTTTATCTCTTTGTGTTATGTTGTTCAGCAGAGGATGAAACTTGTGAATTTTTTTTTCCCATGGAAAGGATCCTGCGATCATCCTCATTGTTGTCTTCCATAAACAATCAGACTTTATTATGTTGCGATGTGCGAAGCTCATGTGAGCTCTTAATTTTTGTACCTGAATTATTTCTATTGTTTCTCCACATTTTCTCCATTATCTTTTTGGTGGTTTTGAGTTCTTTTGTTTGTTTGTTTTTTCTTGTTTGTTTTTTTTACATTCTGAGGATGGCTATTCGACTTGCCCTTTACCTGCCTAATTGATTAAAAAATACAATAAAAATCTCCTTGCCTGTTGATAAACAGCTTTTGAATAAATAGTCCATCACATTTGACCACTTAAAATAGAACACTAATAAAGTAAACATTAAAAAAATATAATAACATAATATTTTTTTAACCCCTTGAATTAAAGCTCAAATTCCATAGTTCAGTAACATCATGCCAAGTTCTGCCGAAACATTTCAATACTTTACAGCATGTTATTGCTGACGGAGACTGACCAGTCATTGAGCACAACCTAAATACCAATGAAATGGTCATAAAAGTTTCAGACAGTGTCGAAAATGGGAGAAAGGTGGCCTCAAGTTCTTCAAAATAAAGAGATGATTCAGTCTGGATGTGTCACTGTTTCAAAGGTTATTGTGTTCCATGTCTCAACAGAACGGAAAAATTTGCACGTTGTCTCCGTGTCTGTGTAGGTCTACTGGGGACTGTTTGTTTGCTACCCAGGGTTTGTGGCATAGGTTAGATTATTTACTTTAAATTATTTAGTTTTATCATAGATATTTTTAGTTTTAGGTTTTTTTTAGTTTTTATTATAGATATATTATTTATTTTATTTTGTAAATCTGTGAGCTAATGCAGATGTTTTTCTCACCGCGTCCCTATGATGGCCTCATAATAGCCCTAGAAACTGCTCGAATAGCTTGTAGCCTGCACACACCTGAACAGGATTAAGCGATACAAATTGGATGGATGATTTCCTGATTGTTCATTTTAATCTGTGCTTGTCTCCATCTGTTAGAAGCATTCGTTTCCAGGAAGCTGACCCATTCTGAAAGTCATTTTTAATTTACTGTAGCGATCATCACTCTTTGTAAACTTGGCTAACCCTACAGTGAAAATCCCCTGCGAAGCAGAATTCACATATGTTATTTGTTTGATCATAGACAGTTGATAAACACTTGTGGTCACGAATAGCTGCCTTCTGCAAAAAGAATCCAAAAATCCCAAAACGAACTTGGTGTCACTTTGACAAGATGCTCCTTTTGACATGAAATATGTCACTTTCACTGACTTTACATATGATCTTCTTTTCTAAAAATGTGTTTCTACATTCAAAGTCAACCTAAACGTGCTGGGTCTGTACCCAAAGACATCTGTTACTCATAGTCGTGGTGCTCACTTTTAGCTCTGAGGTGCTGCTTCACATTTGTAACCACCATTTGGCTTTCAAGGGATTTCCCTGAATGCTGAAGCAAGCTGTAATAGTTTTGCATTACCATTTTGAGGGGGTGGCGATGGGAGCTCTAATGTTAAGAAATGGCATGTTTGATAACATGTTGTAATCTCTATGAGGGATTAATACTTCTATATGTCCCAGTGGACCCTTTACCACATCCTGTATTTGGACAAATAAGTAGATACAAAGAACCAGCCCTGCCCTGCTTGCCCTCCTACGTCCTCATTGTTGTTCATAATTCATCTGTTTTCATTGTTTTCCTTCCTAGAGTTCATCTTTCAATTGAAACAAATTAGATTGACGTTCAAACACTGCACTCGCAGTTCACTAGCCAGCTCACGATATGGGATAATGATGAATTCTTGCCAGATATCCTCTAATTGTTGTAAAAATGTTCTCATGCTGACATGACTCTGGGAAATCAGCCTGAGGTCTTAACAGCTACATTTCTCATATGTGAATCACCCCCCAGTTATTTCATCTGGATCCGGTGTGACCAGTAATTTAGCATTCATCGTCTTTATTGATCTGGCAACATAATGGTTTGTTAGGCTGGCACATGAAGAGACCCAGGAGGAGACAGGAAGCAAGAATGTGGTCAGTTCAATCCCCTGCAGCTAACTAAAGCAAACACACTGCGGTAGTGGATGGATGTTTGTCACAGTACTGACCATAATACTAAGTCAGGGGTCTGACTTTGATAACCATGTGTATTTATATTTTTCAGTTATTTACTATATGGTCTTCCCAATGTAATTATAATCAATCAAAGAAATAAAAGAAAAATATTTTCATAAATAAAATAAAAAAAGTAAATTATATCATAAGATGGCTATAGACATCTTATGATATAAGATGTCTATAGTCATAATAATAACATATAATAATTTGATTATAAATTCTCAAAAGTACATTTATTCCTTGTTCCTTCTCATAAAAGTTTTATATGCTGTCTTTTTTGTTTTCATATACCAATAATCAGATATAATCTGCCTCTTTAACTGATGTTCAGAGTTAAATGTCTTAAACTAGTATTTCAGCTGAATACAAAGGAGCATTCAGATTTCATCAAATACATGTATACACATTTTAGTCTTCTAGTACAAAACCTTGCACACATTATTGTGTAGAGCTCACTTATCTAAGGAATGTTTGAATAAGGAAGTTGATTTTTTTTTGTTTTTTTTAAATAGTCACTTACATACAGATGTGTTCCTGTTTGTAAGTAACATTTTCGTGTGTGTGTCTGAAACATGCTGGTTTTGGCTAACGGACATTATTTATTTGCACATCATCTAACCTAATTGTACTCAATTATTGTCCATGTTAATGCAAGCATCCAGCACATTAGCAACATCTGTAAATGACAGAAAATAAGGAAGAGCATATTGAATCAATTTAAGCAACAAATCTGCCAGTCAAAAATATTCATGGATGTACTAATGTTTGTTAATTTAGGCTTTTTCTGCAGGATGAAAATGGAGTATCAATATTTTACAGTATATTGCATTGTATTTGTGAGGTAAGTTAGAATTTGCTTGTTAACCCTGAATATTTTATAGTTGAATCGAACTGATGGAAAACATTGTATCACCACAAATGAGCTTGGCCCCTAAAACTTTTTTAAAAATTAGTCTACAGAATAGAAAGAAATTTCACTGAAAAGTTTTATTCCTAGACAGAGGTACTTTTAACTAAGAAATGGAACCAAATATTAAATGTGCAGCATTTTATAACAACATTAGAATAAGTTTTTCAGCTTGCACATCTTTCTTCCTAATCCAAATATTGTTGTTCCACCAGCTGACACAAATTATTCTGTTCCCGTATATATGCTCCCATGTAAACAATCTGTACTATTTGTTCTATCAATAGGATGCAGACCCGCCTTCCTCTACCTCTAAATTACCTCCCACCATGCATGATAAATTGTACAGCCAGTTCAGAAAGGCATCTAACGCTGTATTCTTCCTTTGTGACTCACCTCCAGTCATTGCTTTTTCATCTCGCTTCAGTGTGTCCGGTCATTTTCTGTGCCTTCTCTTGACTGATCTTGT